AACTGTCTGTAGCTAGAGGAGAGATGTGGCCCTGCATTTAGCTAGCAATTCTCAAGTTTTATTTTTGCAGCTGTGGTTCAGTAAATAAAACTTTGGATGCTCCAGGGTACTAGGAATTTAACATTCCATCATTTCTGTCTTGTTTAATAATGAGGCAACAAAACAGGGCCTTTCCTGTCATCCCTCAAATGTATGGTGATGCTAAAGTGTCTCCGTGACCTTAGGTGAGACATTTCAGCTTCTAATGCTTATCCTCGGGTTTCTTATTGTGTTAATAATGGACTTTGGTTTTGTTTAATTGCCATTATATACACAACCCTTAAAATATTGTGCACATCAGCTTTTTAGTGGTTCATAATTATATTACTTTTGGCTTTCTCTCATTTCTCCCCTTCAGCCACAATGGTCCCCTGCCTATGTCTTGTGGACAAGAGCTCTTGCTGCACACGAATGGCATGAATAGATTTCAACTTTCTTTTGATTCATACCGACAGATTAAAAACTAATTATTCTCTGTAATACTTTTATAATAAAAACTAAGTTGAAATGATTTATACACACTTCCAGCCAACACATTTGCAATTCAAGGTTAAAATTGTTCTTGAAACAGCACCAGTTAAAATGCTATTACGACTCCCCAAGCAGGGATAAAAGAAAGAAATGTTTTAACACATTCACTTCAAAAGTTAAAAAGTCAATTTAATAGTATAGAAATAAAAACTTTCATTAATTTTTACTAAATGATAAAGACTTCATTAGTTCTATTAAAGTAAAGATAAAAACAGGTGTGTTTATTACCTGCCTCTGGAAAAGGGTAAGGTGAATAAAAGCGATGGCTTTGTGAGGGGCGAGCATTTTCTCCTTGTACCTGCCGTCTTGTTCATGCTTCCCAGTCCTTTCTGTGCTGGGCCATAGGTGGGTTTTCAGAGTACAGAAGAGTGCAAATAGGTTTATGTTACCAATGGTGGACGCCCTGCGAGGAATGGCCTGCGGTCAGCTGAAGGGAATGCTTTGGAGACTTCAACTATCTCCATATTCAGTGTCTCCACTGTGGTGTTACTTTTTCAGTGCGTAATGTTCGTGGCCTCTTATGGGTGGCATGAAGTGGCTGAGAGCATGGGAAATAGTCACACAGACCTGGGTTTCTAATCCTCACTTTATGTCTTGGTTCCTGTGTGACCTTGGGCAAGTTACTTAATGTCTCTAGGCCCAGTTTGCTTATTAGTCAATAATACTGATACTACTATTAATAATGACAATACCACCAACCTCATGAGATTTCTATTAAGAGAAAGCACATACTGCTTTTAGCACAGTGTCTTGCACATAATGAATGCTTAATAAATATTAGCTGCTGGTGTTAATGATACAATAATAGTATTATTAATAATGTTGTTGTAAGATTATTTAAGCTAAAAAGAAGTTAGAAACCAAAATAATGTCCATAAAGTGCTTAACACATACCTAACATATAATAGGTTTGATAAATATAAGTTATAAGGAGAAAAAGAAAGGGAAAGTAGATACAGCATCTTACAGTTGTCGTCAGCTAAGAGTGCATAGTTACCACATTGCTCATAAAATAATAATAGTAGTAGTAATAATACTTATTGAGCACCTACTGTGTACCAAGAATTAATTCAAACACATGATATTTAGTAACTCACTGAATAGTTATAAAAACCACATGAGATAGGTATTGCTGTTATCTTCGTTGTACAAATAAGGACACACTGAAGCACAGAAAGATTAAATAATTTGACCAATTTCACACATTTAGCACGTAGGGCTTAAAAACAGGATTTTGAAATCCAGGTAAACAAGAGTTAGAGTTTTGAAGTTGGAGAATTAGGCACAGGCCAGATCATTAGGGCCTCACAGTTAAGAATGAGAGGCTGCTAAAAGTTAGTGAACACAGGCATGGCTTGGTCTCGTGTACATTTGTAAAGGATCACTGTGTGGCTACTAACCAGATCTACAAGTGTCAAACAGATTATGCACCAACCATGTTGACTGGTCAGATGCCCAGAGATACATAACCTTGTCTGTACAGAGTTTGTTCTGTGGCTCTAGTGTTATGCAGGGCTGCCATGTCACGCAGCTATAGGGGGCACCTTCTCATTGTGATCTGTGGCCTCCCTTGGAGGTCCAAGGCAAGGGTGAGGATCAAGGGACAACCTGAAGTAGCTGTGTAATGGTGTATCAGTAGATTCCCGGCCCAGATGATTGCTGCTCTACCTGCCAAAGTGAAAAATGTAGACTTTCTTCACCAGTCTAAGGGTCATGGAGTTTTCCACTCAGTGGCCAAGCATGCCAGTTACCAAAGATAGAAACCACTGGCAGTTTTCATTCAACTTGGAGGGATGACAGGGTTTGAGTGAATGCTGCCAACCCACGGAAGGACATTTGATGAGTCTGCTAAGCTTGGCCTCTTTCTCCTCTTTTGTGTGACTGTCAAGCGAAGCTATGATCCCGCTGACAATATAATATCATTCAGGGCATCAGTTCACTCTCAGAACCATCACATCCTTCCTTCAGAATCTTTGGGCAAGTTGAGTTAATGACAAGGAAGCGGCCAAGCTTTTAAGCCATAGCATGTCATTAAGCTGTAAGAGCAATTTAAGCGAAAGCATTTTTTTGTGTTAAAGTCAGAACCTGCCTCTTTTTACAGTGAAATGACTAATTCTTCCCTGAGGCATCAGGAATAAGCTTTTTAGAACTAAATGCTAGCTGTGAAAGAAGCAAGTATTCTAGAGAATGAACAAACCTTGGAGAGAGTCGTATTGCTGCAACTCTTCCTTCCTGGCATCCCAAAGATCCATCTATTTCAGGATAGATGGCTGTCTCTTCCAGAAAATTTCCAGTCTAACTCGTATGTATGGCAGCCCCCTCCATTTAAAAAGAAAAAACTACCCCCAAAGTTAAGGAATGCCTCTCTCTATTCAACTCACATCTCTAAGGCTTTAGTTTAGGCCAATTCCTTTTATTTGGCCTTCTCTGGACAGAGAGAAGGGCTGGTCAGCATCTTCCACATACAAGGGTCTTTAATCAAATTATTCCTTACTCACCTTTTCTTCAGGCTAAACAATTCCACTTCCTTTAACCTTTCCACACAGGATTTACTCTCCACCCTTTTCATTATTTTGTTTGGTCTTTCTCTGCACAGTCTCTAGAGGGTCTTTGTTAATTTCTTTCATGTAATTTTAAGAAGTTATTTCCTCTAAGAAAATCAGAAACCTGCTCTCATTTTTTAATGCAGTGGGTTCTGATTTCGGTGGCCCTGTCAAGTGCGTCCACCTCACTAGGTTGAGGTGATTTTTCAGCATCTTTTGTTGTCTTCATCTGTGTGGGTCACATTTAGACAGAGGAAACAGTCCAGTTTTTAAAATTTTTCTGTCATTTATTGCTTTTCTCTCTTTACTATAAATAAAGAAGGAACAGCAGAAGGAAGAATGGGAAAGAAGACAAATTCTAAATAGAGACCATGTGAGTTGTTATGGGAAGTGAAGTGACTCAGAGAGAATTGGAATCACATGAAATAACGGGCTCCTTTTGCTTTTAAGTTAGTAGAGAGATCATCCTGGGTCTAGTTACCTTGATGAAGAGGCAGAAAAGATCTCATGGTCTATTATCGCTTTACATAAGCAGCAGAATTGCAGGAGAGGTGGAATGATAGGTGAATCCATGTACTGAAAGATTTTTTTCTTGGCTAAAATCACTATTTAGATTTATCACTTTCTCATGCAAAGAGAAGGAGTTTCAGACTGTTGGGAACCATTTTCTGTGTCGTTCTCTGGGACTGTTTGAAAAACTGTGTGGTTAGTTCCAGGCTTCAAGATGCCCACCCAGAATTTGCAAAGACCCAGGCAGTAATTCTTTAATTTTACACACTGATGTTAGCTGCCTTCTGGTTCCCGGAAGCCTAGGGCAGCCACTCAGTGCAAGGAAAGCATCTTTCTAACACCATTTCACCTTGTCATTCTCTCCTAGAAAAAGCATTCATATTTGGCACTGGAGGTGCCAGATGGGCCGGAAACGGTTCATTCTGTTTTCCTCTTCTTTTTCTACCCCTACTTCAAGGAGTTGGTAGTTTTGGTGGCTGGGTGTTTCAGGTTACAGTCTGTTTCTTTAGTGACAAGAGTAACTTCATGGTCCATTGAGAACAAGTCTCTGTCACCCCATCACTGATCCATTCCTCATATGTAATAGAGTGATCAGAATGTTGAGGGCCACCTAGAGTCCCTTTTGGTAATAGAAATATGATCCTGGAGACCTGACTTTCCTTTTCTTTGCTTTTCCATAGAAGTTTGGTCAGCAATCTTGTGGAAGGTGCTTCTTAATAACGTTGATAATAATGATAGCAGCTAATCTCTATTGAGGTCTTACCATGTGCTAAGTAATTTACATAGATATTTATCTTTTCAACACTCTTATAAGATAGGTGCTACTATTACATATGTTTTACAGATGAGGAAACTTGAGTTATGGAAAGCTTGAATAGTTTGTCCATGATTACTCATCTGGTAAATGTTGAACTTGGGCAGTTGAACTTCAAAGTCATGCATTTAGTAATTTGGTGACTTTGCTGTCAGAGTGGGTGAGTGATGGAGCTAGAATTCATACCCAGGCTTTCTGGCTCCAAAACCTACCGACTTCACCATTACTTCTTGAGTTATGATGTAGAGTTCTATATAACCCCCAAATGAAGTGTTTTCTGTTCCTTGGCAGGTAAGCCCATTGGCAGTGATTCCAAACTTCACCATTACTTCTTGAGTTATGATGTAGAGTTCTCTATAACCCCCAAATGAAGTGTTTTCTGTTCCTTGGCAGGTAAGCCCATTGGCAGTGATTCCAGCAGGCAGCCTTGTGCCCTGCTGGGTTTATCAGCCTTGGCATTGGGCACTTCCTATCATTTTGTTTTTATCACCCCCCACCTGCTTTGGACCACATAGCTTTTCTAACTCATGTTTTGTTCCTCCCCTCTCTGGTTCTCTGTTCAGCTCGAGGCATTTTATTCCATCTTCACCACAGAGCAGCAAGACCACGTCAAGTCGGTGGAGTATCTGAGAAATAACTTTCGACCACAGCAAGGTCTGAATGACAGGGTCGTGTCCAAGTCTGCTGTCCGTGACGCCTGGAACCATGACATGATGGACTTCTTAGAAAACCCTCTAGGGACAGAAGCTTCTAAAGGTATATTTGGATTAAATGCCCTTGCCTGAAGGAAGATTCCTTATCATAAGTTACTTTAAGTGAAAAGTAGTTCAAAGCCTGCCAAGAATTAGAACTTGGTGTTGAGAGCATATGTTTCTCTGCTAAAAGAAACTCGTCTGGATGATAAATTGAAGCAGTTGTAGGAACCTCAGTTAAATAGATATGTGAAAAAGTGCCCTGTTGACTAGTTATGGATCAGTCTTTCTGAGTTTTTACCTTAACTTCAAAACTAACTAGTAATGTCTAAAGAAAGCATGTTGAAAAGTGTCTTACTTTTTAACTGTTTCCCTGTTGAGATCAGGAGTTTATCTCTGAGCTCAAACATCAGTGTCTTTGAATTGCTCTGAACACTCCAATGTGCAGCGTTCTTCCTAACATCTGTACCAGGCAAGAACCCAACTCTAGCTTTCCATCCCTACTGGAAGCTTTTTAAAACTATTATTTAATGTTTTAATTACCATATCTGATAAACATGAGTTTATAATTTTCAGGCATCTTAATGTTGAATTCCGTTTCTACTTTTTCCTGTGAAATGAACATGAATTTCTCTCGCAGGAAAATAGAAAGTCTGACTCCACCCTCAATCAATCCCTCCTCTCAGGCTCTCGGATTTGTCATAATTGTAGCCCTCACCCCTGACAAAAGGAACCAGTTTATTGGCCACATGAACTTTGTAGAAACAGGGGGAATGAAATTATATTCCACAAATAACTATACTGACATGCACTTTGATGATAACAATGAGCCCATTTTCCAGGCTCATGTATCTGAAAAGGAGCTGAAAGAAGAGGAAAGGGAGTTTAAGAATGTGATGATTTCCTTCCTGTATGTGTGCTTTTGTTTGCAGATTGTGAGGAGAAGCTAGTCCGGCCAGGTTCCCTTGAGAAATGCTTGAGATTCAAGTAGTTTGGGGCCGACACTGTCAAGGGCATCCTTTGCTGGGAACAATGAGAGAATTAAGCTGCTCACAAACCTGTAAAAATAGCTTAGGGTGGACTGGTATAGAAAACCTCACTTGGGCTAATTTTTTTTTTTTTAAACCTAGCTAAATATAAAGAAAATAACCAAACTTGAAGGCCTTCTCCCAAGAGAGCTGGCTTGAGAAAAGCAAGACTCTTAGGATTGACTGTTTTGTGAGAGGTATATGCAGAGGAAATGTGAGGGGATAAAGAATTCATATTATAAGTGAGTGCAAGATCTGGTAGCTCCAAATTGCTGAGAATATGATACTTACAACGCTCTTTCCTGAAAAATGGGCTGAGAATATGATGTACTAGCTGTGTAGAGAGAATGCATGGCCTTTATTATCCAAGAAAGTTAGAGAAGATAATGGTTTTCATTGCATTAAATTGTCAAAGTACACAAGATCTTCCACTGAATAGGCTTTTTCCCTGAATTAGACGAACCATGACATGATTACTTTCTTGAGATTTAATTCACATATAATAAAGTTTATTTTTATTTATTTATTTTTTTGTCTTTTTTCGTGACCTGTAAGGGGATCGCAATCCTTGGTGTGGTGTCGCCCGCACCGTGCTCAGCCAGTGAGTGCACCAGCCATTCCTATATAGGATCCGAACCCGCGGCGGGAGCGGCGCTGCGCTCCCAGCGCCGCACTCTCCCGAGCACGCCACGGGGCCGGCCCAAAGTTTATTCTTTTTAAGTGTACTCTTCAGTGGTTTTTAGTATATTCACAAATTTGTGCAGCCATCACCATTATCTACTTCCAGAATATTTTCATCACCCCCTAAAGAAATTCCATACCCATTAACAGTCATTCACTCCCCACTTTTCTTCCCTTCCTCTCCCTTATCCTCCCTCCCCTAGCCCTAAGCAACCACTACTGTACTTTCTGTCTCCATAAATTTGTCCATTCTGGATATTTCGTATAAATGGATCATACAATATATGGCTTTTTGTCTCTGGTTTCTTTCACTAAGCATAATTTTCAAAGTTCATCTGTATTGGAGCATGTATCAGAATTTCATTCCATTTTACGGCCAAATAATGTGGTATATAATATACCACATTTTGTTTATCCATTTATTGTTGATGGACATTTGTTTTTTTCCCACTTTGGGCTGTTATGAATAATGCTGCTATGACCATTCCTGTTTAAGCTTTTGAGTGGACATATGTTTTCAGTTCTTTTAAATACAAACCTAGCAGTAGAATTGCTGAGTTATATGGCAGTTCTGTGTTTTCAGTTTTGAGGACCTGCCAAATGGTTTTCCAAAGTGGCCGCACCAGTTTACATTCCCATCAACAGTATGTGAGGGTTCCAATCCCTCCATGTCCTCACCCAGTACTTGATACTGTGCGTCTCTTTTATTTTGTCCATCCTAGTGAATATGAAGTAGTTTTGATTTGCATTTCCCTAATGACTAATGATGTCCCTATTTGTTTTTAAATGCACATGTCATGGAGCCATGGCCCACAGGACCAAATGCTCCTCCTTTTTCCCCAAGACAACTCAGGTAACTCAACAGCACTGTAGGCCAAAAGCCAGCCACAGATGCTGACAGTCGTCAGACTGCCTGGAGGGCTTAGATCATTGGCCTTAAAGCAGTAAAGGCCAGTGCAAGGGAAGAGTCCTTTTCCCTTCTCCGGTCTTCTGCAAAAAAAGATTTTAAAAAGAGAAGGGTGGTATTCTGTTATCTTCGGGTAATTCAAAATGAAGAAAGCCTGTTTAATTGGCATTCTCTATCTGATCATTATTGGAAGCTTTCAATGCCCAAGAAAGCTATGTTTTATGCATTTAGTAGGCTACTGTCATAGAAGAAAGAAAAACAAATTAATTACATAAGGCAGGAGTCATTACACTGTTTTGGTGAAGGGCCAGATACTAAATATTTTAGGCTTTGTAGGTGATATAGTCTCTGTTGAAACTACTCACCTCTGCCATTGTAGCACGGAGGCAGCTATGGACAATGTGTAAATAAATGGGTGTAGGAAACATCTTCTAGTAAAACCTTATTTACAAAAATAGGTGGCAGATCAGATTTGGCCTGGGAACCATAGATTACTGACCCCTGCTTTAGGGGATGGCTCAAACCAGGATGGACAAACCTAAGATGGAGACATCATAGGCTTGTTTTAAGGTAAACACTTTCTGTCTTACAGGTGGTAGTGGCCATGACTGTGAGTTGGTTTGTTCTGCCTTTCCATGTCACTGCAAGACCCTAGGACCAACTAGAGATTTAACTTGGTAACCAACCACTTACCAATTCACCTTAACACCTGGTCGTCTTTCATTACAGTGGTGTAATGAGAGCCTGAATTGACTGAACATAGCTCCCCACCTCCCTGGTTCCCCAGCTGTGACCATCACCTAGAGAAGCACTGTGGTGCTGCGGTGGGTTGTTGCACGCCCCTCTTGCCCTTTCATCAGGTTGATTGCACGTACTGTAACAGAAGAAAACAAAATCCAGCCTTCCAGTGTCAAGCACGAGAGGCATGGCCTTGTAAGACAACAGAGGAAAGGGGGGAAAAGTCATCTTAATATTGCATTGTTGTTGAAGAAAGACGTACAGTGGATGTCACCCATAGAAAATATAAGGCTTTAATTCCAGTAAATGGAAACAGTGTTTGGGCTCTGTGGACTATCCAGGGGACATCCAATTCACCACTCTGCCCTTTGTCGGTAAATAACTTGGCCAGACTTTAGGATTTAATGGGCTGTCATTTCAGTTATTCTGCAACACATCCCGGGCACATGGAAGATCATTCAGTGATTAAGTGCTGAATACTGTCTATTGTGAAGACTTTTGGAACAGTGAACAGAGAAAAATGACTTTCTTTCCAACAACATGAAACATATGGTTTATTAATTTAATGAAACCTGTTCAAACCACAGTGGAATCAAAACCACTTGATCTGATAATTTGATTTGATGGCTTAATTAAAGTGACACTGTATAATATAATAAAAGCAAAGGAAACAGAGAGGACACAAGGATGCCTGTGTACCCTCCAGTCTCCTAAGCCAATGCCATGTTTTTGGAGAATGGTTTTTGCTTCTGTTGATAGAGCGATCTCTTTTTTTAGCTGCATTTTCAATGCTAAAGATTGCTTCCTGTTTGGTTAAGAGCCGTTTTAAAGGACATACACCGCTATGTGAGAAATCCTAAGTAAATAGCCTATTTTGAATCAGAATACATTGAGAAAGAGTATCATATTTTCTACCTAAATTAGCAAACAAAGAAGTAAATCAGTGATTGCTTTTTTAAAAAAAGTTTGAGGTTGAAATCATGGTTTTCTGCTATTTTTGAAGAAAATACCAATGTTATTCTATTTGCAGTCTAATCATTTCCACTCATCAATTAATGAGTTCGAATTACTTTATTTTATTAAAAGAAGCTATGATATGAACACTTACTCTTTTGCAGGCAGCTGCTCTCCCAGAAACTCTTCCAAAAAGTTATCTTTTTACTTCCAGAAACTTTCAGCACGGGAAAGTGCTAAGAAAAACACATTTTTCATGCAGCTCCCGTCGAGCGTTTTTAACCCCCTTCTTTCAAAAATAACTCATTTGCCATCATTTTTTAACCTTGGGAATGGTCGAGAAAGAAGGCAAAAAGTAGAGCTGTTTTTAGACCATGGAAAGCCCTAGGTTTTTGTACTCTTGAAGGTCTTGCGATGTTATATCAAACATTTTTAGATGCTCAGACTTCCCATGATTACTGTAATTTTATGTAAATTTATAAGATTTTTTATGTACAATTATAAGTTGCCTGTTTTTAGACCATGGAAAGCCCTAGGTTTTTGTACTCTTGAAGGTCTTGCGATGTTATAGCAAACATTTTTAGATGCTCAGACCTCCCATGATTACTGTAATTTTATGTAAATTTATAAGATTTTTTATGTACAATTATAAGTTGCCTCTGATTGGTTGACATAATGTTGTTGTTTTGTAGACATTTGATGTAGCATTAACTGTTTTGCTTCATATTTTGAAGCCAGAAAATTTCTTTTCGTGTG